AAATCTGAATATTGGTGTAATTTTTTATTAAAGAATTAACACTTTGCACTTTAATAAGTATGTACATCACTGAAGGCGCGCCACATAACCTAAGATAGTTCACATTTCTACTCTTTAAAGCTCAAAATATATCCATATTGCTTTACATATAAATTCCAAAGTAAGGAAGGTTACAGTACGACATAGATTTGCAGGAAATGTAATGTTTAAAAACAATATTTTAATAAGCACAAATTTTTACATTTTGGAATTTGGAAAATTAACTCTAAATATTTCAAATATTACTACAAAAAGTTTTATACAAATTGTCTTGCCCAACTCCCAGAAATTTAAATTTCGACGTTTTCATTTAATTTTCTGGTACTCGATTCCAAAAACTATCGTTTGAAAACTTACGAGTAAAAAGTATCGGTATCGAATGGCAAAAATATCGAAATTCGTGTCCCTAATCCTAATAACAAGAATGATAGTATATAAGATTTCGAATTCCCGGCGGCGATAAGATTTCTCAAGTAAAAGTAAACAAAGCCGAATGTGAGCAGAAAAGTAATTGTCAAACCGTGAATTTTCTCAATTTCTCAATATTAAATTTTTTCGACGGGAAACGTCATTTCATTGTGTAGAATTGAAAAATATATGATTTATGAAGAGAACTAATAAGGAAAATGTGAAAACTTCGCGATTTTTGTGAAAGTTAGCACATTACATTGCATCTAAAGTTTTTAACGTGTTGTTTACTTTTACTTGAGGATTGTCAAAATCGGCAAAACCCAAGTTAAAAGTTTTTTCTAGAGATTCGAATTAAAAAGCTTTCAGATAAGGTAAAACCATGCAGACTCTTTTTTAAATTTTTTTAAAAAGTTTGATCCGAAACCTGAGATCTACTACATTTTTTCTAAATCTACCACATTTTTTCCAGAATCTACCACACAGAATTTTTATGAAGTTCGATCACTGGCGGGCAAGCAGGTGCCGATGCGGGGTAAAAATTTAAAACCGAAAGGGTAAGCAATAGCCGTGTACGTGTATTAACCCATTTTATGCAATGTATATTGCCAAAGGCTATTATATTCACCTTTTTGTTTATAGAGGAACAATTTTTAACTATATTTGTAGTCTATTTATTAAAAATAATTCATCATGAAATTCCGACCAATTTATTTTTATATTTTTAATAAATCAATAAAGTTTAAACTGATTATAAATAGTATGTGCTAATTCATACTGGCGAACAATAACGTGTTAACGATCTTGCTTGCGCATGTGTTCGTAAATAAGAGAGCCGAGCGCTGCTACTAGGCATAGTTGCCAACTTAGTGCTATAAGCACTAGATTTAGTGCTTTTTGAAAATTAAAACGCCAAAAAAAAATGGTTTAGTACCTAGTGCCCTATTTAGTGCTTTTTTCTGAACTAAAATTTCTGAATTTACAAGAATCTACAAATTTAAATGCAAACCATGATTGATAAAAAGATGAAGTTGCAAACCCACGCTCTTGCGTTCTTGTTAAAATGTATTCGCGTTGAAAATGCTAGCACGCAGATAAGTTAAGTATTTATTTTTTTATTTTCTTGATTATTGATTGATCACACAGTTCGAAAAATTTTAACTTTTTTTGCCGCCTGAGTGCATCGGTTTTTGTAGATTCTTCGGTGCTGAATACAAATCTAGCTGCAGAGTTTCTATACCACGTCAGAATTTTGAGATATCCTAGCCTCTAAGTGTAAAAACACGGGTTTTCGCAATATTTGAGGTTATATTATAAAACAACAAATTTTTTCGCTCATTTCTACTTAGGGTATCATTAAGTATTACTCTTCCCCTTTAAAATTCAATTTCGTTTGTTGCGATTCGATTGTTCCTTCTCCTGATGTACCAGTTTTAATGTGCAGTACTTCTGTATTACTTGGCAAGCATGAATGTGTATTTATTTATACATGTAAATATTGTATATTTTTTTACTTTTGTTTACCGCAAACGTTTATGAAAAAGAGTATCCTTTGATTTAAATAAAAATGTAGTGCTTCTAGTGCGGTAAAACGCTCTTTTTTCCAAGATTTGGTGCTTTTTGAAACTGAAAAGTTGGCAACACTGCTACTAGGCTCAGTCGGTAGAAACCCGTCATATAAAAAGGTTGTTTTGCGCATGATTGTCCTTTTTTCCAAGCAAATTTCTAACGAAAAATTATCTGCGCAAGAACAACCGCTCCCTTTGAAAATTTGCTACCAACTGAACGCTGACAATGCAAAACTGAATTACAAAACAGCTAATATGCGCGCAAGCAAGGTGTTGCCATTTAAACCGTTTTCCGGCTAGATTTAGCCGGTTGCGTTAGCAAACAGCCGGAGAAATTTCGATTTAGCCGGCAGCCGACTTGTTAGCCGTTTTGCAGAAAAAATAGCCGTTTTTAGCCGATTTTGCTATTTGCCTTGCTTTCTTAAATTTCAAATATGTATATATGTTTCCATTTTTGACTAAGCGACCCAAAATCTGTTATAAATGGCTACTAGCCTTATCGTGGAGAAAATTTTTATGTCAGGCAGGATTGTATGAAATTGGGCCGATTTCGCTTATTTTTATTTTACACGAAGAAGGGATTTTCTTCATAAAATGTTTGTTATAAATGTCTTAATTTTAAGTGTGAAGTTTTATTCGCAAACTTAGAAAATAAGAAATTGTATCACTGTTAAGACACTTAAGATGCGTTTGTGTTTGGATATAGTGCCAACAAACCGAATAAATATTACATGTAGATATTGTCTTCCCAGATAGCGCATTTTCGATTCTGCCTAAATTACAAAACATCATTTTTGCCCACTCCCAAAGGTT